CGCCCCCTGCAAAAAACTCTTATATGCTAAAATAACTAAATCATTAGGCTATATGAAACAAATCAAGTGTATTTAAAAGATCAATTTTGTTCATAGGGAAATGCCTTTATGTGTCAAGACAGTATTAGATATATACCAGAAGTCATAAAATCTCAAAAAATCTTTCACAAGCATGGAATCCCTTTATAAATAAGCAACAAAAATATTCCAGTGTAGACAGCACTTGGGTGCAAGAGTTATGCTTTATTAGGCGTGATATGATAGACTTGATGACATCTTAAAAAGATCTCCAGGGTTATTAAAGTAGTTTACTGTCTTTGGAAATGGATATTGCTGATGTAGGCCTGTTTGCTTAGATGGTTGCAAGTATATGCTACTAGAAGTTTATCTTTAGGTTTCTTCAAGTTGTTTCTTTCTTGCTTGTCCTTAGTTGTCCAGCATTTGTGAAGAGAGGAGTGAATTCTGCATAGCTTAAATTGATGTGGACAGAAATCAGGGCCTTACCTTCTAGCTGTAGAGTGGAGCTGTTATTAGGTGATCAAGCTGAAAGAATTCCAGTCAGAAGATTTGTGCTGGAGGGCAGTGATGTTATCAAATGTTTACTTTTTCTCTTTACCTGTTCTAATCTGTCTCAGAGATGGGTTAGATTGTAGTGAACACTCAGATGGACAGGTGAACAGTAGTTTTCATAACATGGAAGAAGAGTTTGACATTTTTTAGCATCATTACAGATACACTTGAAGAATACAGAAATAGAAAACACCAAACTAGTAAAAGAAATCCAGACGTTTAAGAATTCGGATGCAAACAAAGAAAACATGATATCGTATTATAAAGAGGAGGTTGGCAGATTACAGCTATTTATAGCTGAAAAAGAAAATATGAAGAAAGCTTTTTTGCACTCCTCATCAGACAAGGTAAGCATTACTAATATAATTGGCCTGGCTTAAAATAAACATCTAAGGTTGTATGTGTTTGAAAAGAGAAAGGAAGAAGTTGAAGATATCAACAGGGTATATAGACTGAGAGGCAAGAGGATTATGGTGTTCCAAGTAGATGCAGAAAATGAACAAAAGAGTGAATTTGATTTTAGTTTCACACAATCTGAGTTTGTTGAGGTGTCTCACATGATTAACTGTGAGGTGAACTATGTGTAAAAAAGTAATTTGTTAGTTCAGTAAAAGAGCATCGGTAAAAGTGGTGCAGTCCTCTGAGTTGGCTTTGGACTTCATGAGAAAGGAAGGAGCTTGAGGAAGAGAGAAAAATTAAGAATGTAGGTATGTTGAGACTGCAGACAGTGATGGAGGAGAAAAGAGGAGGCTTCGAAAGATGTGCTGAAGGACTTCTTAGGTGAAAGTACTGTCAAGGTACAATGATGTATAAAACCTGAGAAAGGATAAGATACCATATAAGTGGACTAAATTGACTGAGAACTCAGCAGTAAGAGTTCTGGTGGACTTGTAAGGAAGAGGTGATTTTTGCTATGTAGTGTGGTAGCATTGTGGTTAGCAAGCAGTGTGGTATAGCAGGAGAGCGAAATTGCTGAAAAACTGGTATCCATGCTGTCCATGGTCCAGGTGGGGTTGCTTCAGGCTAGTTTCAATGTGGTGCTATGGACAGAATACTCATGAGGTGTTTGTTCCTGATGTTCATCTTCCTGTCTCATTTCACCCGAAGGGAATGCAGTTTCTGTGCCCTGAGACTGTTTTGTCCTGTGATCTACAGTGTGATAGGTAATAATGGAATTGACTGGGAGTTTTGCTTCACAAATGTGCTCTTGATCCAAACTAGAGAATTAATTTAGACACAGCCTTTGATGCCAGCATGGAAAAGTCAGATTTATTCAGGTGACTTTATCTTTTATATCTTGCCAGTCTTTCACAGAAGAAGCAATCTAGATCTTGAAAGAATAGAAATTTCATTAATGTGAGTTATGAATGTAAAATTTAAGTAGAAAGGTATTGCTGTTGAGAATGGAAATAGCAAGAGGACAAAACACACTATCTTGCTTTAAGTTGCAGCTTATCTTGTTTTACTCTTTTGACTGCTCTGCAGTTTTGTTTCTGAATGTGTTAAACTACTACTATATTTTACTTTGAAATAAAAACGTGTGTTGGGGGTGTGTGCCAGTACTGAAGCAACCAAATATTTATGTAGTTTATTACTCTTGAAGTGCTCATGATGTTTCTGGTGAGATCACTAATGTTTTTGTCTTACACTGTGAACCTGCAGATATTTACTGAGATATGTAACTACTGCATTACCTGCTGTGAAAACAGGTACAGAACAGGACTTTAGGGCACTTCCTAGTCCAGCCATCTTCATAAACGTTTACAAAATATATCAGTAGTCCTCTGGACTTGCTATGCTAAGTGATTATTCAAAAATTAACAAATAAGGGACTAGAGATAGCTGAATTTGTGTCTAGATTCAAGAATACGAGATGATTGTTGCTTCAGGAAGGTCATAGGCTGCAAGTAGTTTCTAGTAGCTTTGAATTTAAAAAAAAAATATTTTTTTTTCTTTTTTTTTGGTCCTGGGCTTCCCTGAGGAATGAGAGGACAGTAATGCAGTTTGGTCAGTTGGCCCTTTCAGCTGCATGCTGCAGCTTGCTCTTCGTTACTTCTTGTTCTCAGTTCCTTTTGAAAAGCTTATTGTGCAAGATCTTGGGAAACAGAGCTCTGAGAAAAACATCCCCGAAGCTGCTTTACAGTGTCTTATGTCTACCAGTCGTAGGCATTGTGAGGCCTCTTATTCTGTTGTTACCTGCAGTGTCTGACTGTGGGGTGAACTTTGGTTTTGAAGCTGGATATCCATTTGTACCCATTGATAGTTCTATAGTGATAAGAACAAAGATGTTCTGTAAAACAGAGACTTTTTTTGGCATATATTTAAAGCCAAAGCTGAAAATACAACAAAAATCTAGTATAGATAAAATAATGATATTTAAATTTGCCTTTATGTTATAGTGAAATATGTACACCATTGTTAGCAAAGAAGGCAAATGGGGAAAATGGTTCTTGTGTACTAACACCTCTGTGCAGTGGTTTTGCTAAAGCCATCAGGAAAACTTGATTTTCTTTCTGATGTTTCAGATCCCTACACCAAACTTTATTTAAGCTTTGTATTAAAAAATTGTGGATACTCTTCCCTCTCTTATCTTTCCCAGGAGGATGCAAGTATTTTAAAAGAACAGCTTCGGAAAGCTGAAGATCAGATTCAGGCAAGCAAACAAGAAGCTGTCCTAATGTCAAAAGAGCTGAGTGATGCAGTAAATGTGCGAGATAAGACAATGGCAGATCTTCACAGTGCACGTCTGGAAAATGAAAAATTGAAAAAGCAGCTTACTGATGCTTTAGCTGAACTTAAAAAAATCACGGCTTTGAAAAATGAACAGGTAATTTGGTCAGTATTTAGTACTGAAGGTTATCTGTATTAATAAAATCTGTTAGAGCTAGCTTTGCTAATGTTGGAGAATAGAGTATGTTTCTGGGTGATTAGTACACATTATTATCAAATTATCTTTTGGCACTCAAGATATTACCTTAAATCAAGTGCATGTTAGCTGATTTGGAAGGCTGGTAAGAAGGAAGGTTTCTGCTGCTACTTAGAGCAACTCCCCTCCACCTCCACATTATTTTCACAGAAAAACACAGTGTTTGTATTATTTTGAATCCTCTCCCTTTCTTAATTTATGTGAGCCACAGTAGTATTAAAAATTCATTCAGATAAGAATTTTATATAATGTTCTTTCCTCATTGATGGATTCTCTGCTGATTCTTATGAGTCCTTCCAATATTTGTGATCAAAATTAATTTGTTTTAGTACTTATAAGTAAAAAGATTGGAGTAATGGAAATTGTCTTGACTTTCTTTGTCCTGGATAAAAATCTAGTGAGCTAATAAAAGTTTCATCATTCTGACTTAAGTGAGCTTTGTACCAGATCTTCCATGGCTGCAACTGTGTTGGGTTAATTCACTGCTAGGATTACTGTGATGATGTAGCAGTTTGAAAAAATATATTGAGCTGAACAGTAATTAAAGTGGTGCAGTAAATATGAAGTGAATAGTACAACCTTCAAAAGAACTATGATATTTAAAATATCCAAGAATTACATGGGGTTTTTTTTCTAAGAATTTGAATTCTATACAATGTCTTTGAAATGCATCCCAAAAGAAGTAGCAGATCACCTGAATGACTCAAGTTACCGGAAAGTATCCAAATATGGCATATAGCCAGTTGGTAAATGTAGTTTGCTTAGCATGTGTGTCAATGTTACAGCTCAACTGAACCACTTCCAGAAACATAGTAAGTGTGATGGAACACAGTTGTAGTCAGTCCATTTTTGCCATGTGGCTATACTTGTCTGTCACCTTCTGGAAGGTGTTCAGACTTCTGGTATACATTCAGATTTTTGGCATATGTTAATCATCCCATAGAATACGAATCCTGTTTACCTGCCTCTGGTATTATACCAGTGCCTATTTATTCCCTTGGTGCGTCCTGCTTGGAATTAAGTTCAGCACGGATGCTGCCTTTATCTGTGCTCTACTGCTCTATTCCTTTCCTTCCCACAAAGAAAATACGAACTTCTTCCATACTTATGTAGAGCATTATGCTTTCTTTAATTGAAAAAATGCTTTTTGGGAAATGGTGGTATTTGAACAAAAGGGAGAACAGTTTCTAATTTTTTTTTTAAGGAAACTTCAAATACAGCAGAGCAGGAGTTGCGCAGAGAAGTTGAAGATCTGAAGCTTCGTCTGCAAATGGCTGCTGACCATTACAAGGAAAAATTCAAAGAATGTCAAAAACTTCAAAAACAAGTAAACAAGTTTGCAGAACAGGCAGTAAGTAGAATGGGAGAAATTGCACTTCCTTTTTGTAACTTTTCAGCAACTATTTAATTTCCTTCTGCAAAACCCAGTGCTTTTAAAAGGATGAAAACATGCAGTAAGCAATGGCTTTTTAATTTGCCGTTTTCTTACATAAAGCTAAATTACTTTTATGATTCTTTTTAGATAGTTGTTGAAAGCAAGCATAGAATTTATAGTAACTGGTGTGTGTAGAAAGCTAACAGAGTTTGGATGAACCTGGAAGCATAACATTGTTCAAGGAAGAATTTTGAAACTGAAGCAGGGAGTAATCCATAATTATTATCTCTATTCAGTACCACTACCACAAACCACACCTCCGCCCCTACCACCATCCCCTCCCCTTCCTGCCCCCACCGGCCAACACCAAAAGTGGGGGAAATGGAGAACTTGGAGGAGGATTTCAAAGTGAAGTGGGGAGAAAGTTTCCATAACACAGTATATAGTTGTCCACATGTATTTTGTGTTATCACTCTTCTAAGCTTTGTTCTATAAAATGGTGATGTGAGTCTAATGCTACCTAGTAACTGAACCTGTTGGTGAATTTCAAACACATTTAAGAACAGAGTTCTTCAGAATTTAGTGAAAATTAGTGACTGAGTTGAAGAGGAGAGCAAATGGGGAAAAGGCGTATGAGCAATGGCAAGATGTACAAATGTGAATTGTTAAGAAAAATAGACTTAAGTATTTCTGCTGTCCACAGGACAAATGGGGTAGTTACCCACCTTTGATCCACAGATTACTTTGAAACGTTGTCTGCTCATCCAGAACGTCAATGGTTAATGAGGTGTCATATCAGAATGCATGTGGCTTTTCTTTAAAAATCTTCCACATCTTTGGCTATGTTGTATATCTCATAACAAACACCAGGCTTCAATACCTTGACACCGGAAGTCCAGCACTCATTAGTAATACAGACTCAATTTTCTGATGGAATATTAGATTTAAGTTGGTGGCTTTAGGTGTGATTCTCTAGAAAATTAGATTTTACTAATAATTTGTGTAGAAATTACCATTTCTGGGGAAAAATAACTTTATAACATAAGATTATAAAAATAATATTCTCAGGCAATTTCAGTGTTAATAGAATTAAATGTGTTTTGCATATTTATTATTACTCCTGTTTTAATGAGCAATTCTGTCTAGTCCAATTTTGGAGGAGATGGTAGTAGGAAATGTATGCTGCTTTGTGCTTTGGCTTTCATTTAATTAAATACCAAAACAAAATTTCTTTTTACAAAGAAAATTGCAGGGCATCAGCAGAAACTGACAGATGTATCTAACATTGAGACAGCTACTGCCATCGTTACAGACAAAAAGTTGTCTGGATCTCCAGGTACCAACAGCTTAAATTTTGTCTATTTCTATCAACTTGAAAGTATTGCCTATGTGAAGTAGTCCCTAATAGTGTTTGTGGTATAAAGTAAGAGGACTTGGTCTGTTTTAGTTAAAGCAGTGATCATAGAATCACAGAATGGTTTGGGTTGGAAAGGACTTTGGGGATGATCTAGTTCCAACCCCCCTGCCATGGGCAGGGACACCTCCCACTAGACCAGGTTGCTCAAAGCCTCATCCAGCCTGGCCTTGAACACCTCCAGGGATGGGGCATCCACAGCTTCCCTGGGCAAGCTGATTAGAAATGTGAAAATTCATTCAAAAGTCTTGTATCTTTTTTTGAGTGGTAACATTCGTAAATAACTTCATGTATCTTTTCAAAACAGTTCAGTTGATATTTGTTAATGTCAGTTGGACTGAACTCTTGAATTTCTTCTTGATAGTTAAGCCAGAGCTGGTTTGGCCAAGTTAATAATTCATTTTAAAGAAACCACAAACATCTCCCCAAATTTACAACTCGTGTACAATAGCATGGTAATTTTGCCATCCTGTTTAATCACTATCCACTGTACCATTATACTGTAAAATCACATCCACTGAAAAGTTTTGATTATGTGATGGCAAGGTCAAGTCTATAGACTATTCTCATGATTTATATGTAGTAGTGGTTTATTAGAAAATGTTTAACTAGGTTATAATTTTTATGAAGAATTAAGTTCTTACAAAAACCTAGTCTTCTAAAACATGAATATATAATAGGTTAAAACTAAGCCTGGTTTATTATTCAATTTAAATTGATAAATACCAGTAAAGGCTGACTAATTTTGTTTGTGTTACTTTATAATTGACACATTCTTTCTGCCTATAGGGTCTATAGGTTGTAATTTCTGTCAGTTTCCTCCTGTCTTAACTAAAGGCAAATGTTGCCTAAAACAAATAAAATCCCAGCAAGCTCAGTTATAATATGTGATGTGATGAAGTACATTTCTGAGGCACTTTATGTATTTACAGAACAATAAAATATCTAGCATGAGATAATAATGTATATATTCTGGTGTTCACTTTCTTGGGATTTAAGGAGTTAAGGGGAGAGATGTCTGGTTTGTTTGGTTTTTTTTACATTTACCTTTGTAATATGTTTGTATATATTTATGTTCATCTTCAGTATGTGAGAGCACAGACATGCCATTATGACTGCGGGTCTTAACTATCACTAGCCACATGATACTGTTTGTCTCTGATTAACTATTTGCTTGGATAACATGGAGCCCTTGTGTTCTTGATGCACTGTCAAATTTGGCGTATCATCTCTCTTATACAAACCTCATTTACTGAACAAAAAAATCAATATTCTTGTTTTTTTCTTCAGTGTTCACAATTAGCCCTGTTTCATCTGATATAGTTTCAGAATTCGTGGTAAAGGAGCAAGTACGTGAAATGAATAAAGAAATTGCTGAGAAAACAGAGAAGTATAAGAAATGCAAGCAAATGTTGGCAGTAAGTAAATGGCTGCTTCGGAAAGCTGAACAGAAAGTAGCTATAGGTGCTAGTCTTAAAACCACGAATCCTACACAGCTTAGTTGCCTTGCTTGTTTGTGTGATATGCCACAATTATGATAGAAATCTTAACATTAGGAAATGTATTTTATTAAGTCAGCTCTTGATTACCTGTGGTGTTAGGGAATCCAGACAAGGACCGCTCAGGATAACCCAGATGCAGTAAAACAAATTAACAAAACTACTACTACTTCGACGCTTGATGTTTTGAATATTTTTTTTGCATTGTATTTTAAGTATAATTGCTTTTATAAATCAATTACAGCATGTTGCTATAAGCCAGCTGATGTCTGGAACAATTAGAGTAGTGTTTGTCTCACATGCTGTTCAAGTGTAAGAACTCCTTCTGAATCTGACTGACCTGTGCTTTTATAGTGTTTTGGTGTCCAAGTGGGGGCTGCCTACCAGCTTGGGCTCTGTCATACATAAAGGCATTCGTATGGTTCACTGGACCAAAGTTGGCACCGGTAGTGCTGTGGCCATAATAATAATAACGCCCTTCAAATATTGATGCCTGTCAGTCCTAACTTGATTTTCATTTAACCAGTTTGAATGTATGTATGACAATGGAGTATTGCATTGATGGTGCTGGTGAAAAGTTAACTGTTGTAGAATTGTTTAAAAACCGCTTTCTGGATGTTGTCTTGTCTCTGTTCATTTGTTTGCTTGTTTTTGAGGATTAGAAAAGTAACATTAATCAACATTATGAAGTCAGAACAGTTAGACTTCAGATGAGAATTAAAACTTGTATTTTTTTCTCTACTTCAGTATGTTTTGTTCTCAGTCATAGTATATTCACAGACTGCCATGAACGCAGCTTACCATCCATTTCTCTTATTTATCACAAGGAAATTATTCTATTTTAATGTGCTCTCCAGGATGTAACAACTGTCATGTAATTCTGCTCGTTACCCTGCCTATGGAGAGCCTCCGTTAGCTTCTGCAGGCTTTTTCTTCTGTAGTGATGCTGGAGGAAAGCTTTGCCTTTGACCTTCTGGATGAAAGACATTTAGATTGGAAAAGTTGCATGGGGAAAGGTTTTGTATTGAAGTGAGACACTTGGAAGAATAATCATAATTACAGTGTAGTATTATGATACAAAGACACTTGAAACTGTGAAGCTAAAGAGGAATATCAGCTTGTTGAAAACTCAGGCAAGAAAAAAAAAATGTATTGAATATCATTTATGCAGTGTTCAGTGGTCCTGTCCTCTTCAAAGTCTTGAGGCAGGCTTGATTTCTTGGGGAAGCCATTTGTAAATGGTCTTGCTCTAAAAGCATGGAGTTGCACAGTGTCATTGTTGGGGATGGGAGGGGAAATATCTTGAAATTGTAAATATTTCATGCTATGGTATAAACTACTTTAGGACGAGAAGATGAAATGCAGTGTTTATGCTGATGAACTAGCTAAACTGGAGCTGAGGTGGAAGGAACAAGTGAAAATCAATGAGAGTATAAAATTACAGCTAGCAGCAATGGAGGATCAGTATAAAGTAAGTTACAGATTTTGTTTATGACAGTGAATGGTATCCTGTTTTTAACATAGTTGGTCATTTCTGATAGTTGAAGTATTGAAGTTTTATTAGGGAAAAACCACTAAATGTATTTTTGTATTTGTAGAAACAACACAGTCTTGTAATGCTTCTTTTAAAGTAAGATCTGCTAAGCATATTACCAAATGCCTATCAGTCTTTTAATATTGTGGAGTTAGACAAACCTCTAAATTACATTAGTCTTGTATTACAGGAAAAAAAGGGCTAGAGAGTTCTAATTTCCTGTTGTGTACTATAATACTAACAGAAATATTGATTGGCGTGTTTGTCTAAAATCTTCAAAGTGCATGCTGCTTTGCTAGTGTAGTAGTGCCTGATGCATTTTATTTAACTAGAGAGATAAGATGAGTTATATTGGTTTTAAAATCATAATGAGAGAATTACTTTAATTTGGAGGATCTCAACTATAGTCTTAGTTGAGTTATGTAATGCATGCACCGGAAAGACAAGCATAATGGTCAGCTTTAGCTTACAAGGGGCCTTAATCTTTGAGGTTATGTGATAATAAAACATAAGTTGAAGTGGCTTTTGAGGTCAACAAGGGCAAGATAAGAGCAACAAATTTCCATAAGAGCAGCTTCTATGCTTGTTCTCAGTCTAATGGTGATAGTATAGTTGTCAGGATAGAATTCTCTCTGTTGCCTATTTTTGCCCATTGTGATAAACAAGGATTAAATTGAACTGTGACTGTATCAGTAGGAACCTCCTTCCGTTAGAAATTACAGCACTTCTTCTGTATAACATACTGAATTATTCTACAGCTCATTTCAGCAATCTGTATGCTGTCCTTTTTTGATACTTTTCAAAGAACTAATTTCAGTTTTATAAAATGCATTACTCTTTCCATTTATTAATTTTACTAATTAGCAGTGATTGGTTGTCATGCGTAATTTAATGTAAGATAAGTTTGGTTTTAGTTTTTCAACAGCAAGAGTAATAATTGTTTCAAAAATTTAGAGCATTTTAACTGCAATTCAAACCTTGATAATCATTCAGGAGAGTGTAGGTGAGGGAGTAAAAGTGAGCTTTTCTTCCTACTTGGTAGATTTCTCCCTTACCTGAACTAGGAGAAGGGAATTTCAGAACTTAAAAAAACTGATACATAACTGTGCAGAGCATTGAGCTTATATGCTAGAAAAACAAGTGTAAGTCTCCAAAGTAACTAGAATAAAAAAAAAATAGCCATCTGTGGAGAAGGATTTTTTTTTTTTTAAATAATCATTTTGAAGGAAGGAGGAAGTCCCTCCTGCCATTAATATCACTGATACTCCTCCTCCTTTTTAACCTAGGGTTTTATCATTCCACAACTGTTTTCTGAAAACTGTCAAGAAAAGGCTGCTAACATACTACTGTTATCCAGTAGATAAACTTAGGGAGAATTGTTGATTTGTAGTAGTACTAGATGTTGCATGTAACTAGTAGACAAAATAATTTCCATCTGAAAGATGAACTTAATGGCTGAACTTCATGTTTTTTACAATATAACACGCGTGGAAATAGTTTCTATTCACTAATACAGGAACCTTAAACTTCTTTTCATACAGGTTCAGCTGGCAGAAAAAGAGAGACGAATGAAGGAGCTGGCGTCACAGTTGGAACTCTTTACCAGTGAGAAGGTATGGTCAGGATTCCTGTTAAATTTTGTACATTAACACTTGTGAGGCTCTTTGGTTTGAGAAGTTGCAATTTATTTTTAAGTGAAAATTTGTTTACTCTTTAAACATACTTCTCCCTATTTGGATATTTTGCCAAAGTGAATTAGCATTTTAAACTACAAGTTCTTTTAATAACGCTGATATATATTTTTTAAAATGTACACCATAATATGCCAATTTGCCAAAACTGACCCAGCCTTTGAAAATACTGTAATTTATTTTTCTCTAGTGTTCTAGAATATGTTCTATATATAATCTAACAAAAAGGTTCCAGTTCCAAAAATTTTCTTTGTTCCTGTCTAGAATGATGTTCCATCCAGGATCTAAAATAATTATTTGTTTGCAGATAGGGATTACTCTGCATAAATTAATATTGCACACAACTATACAGTTCACATAACATAGGAATTCCTGCCAGTTTTTGTCCTGTATTCCTTCCTCATCTCAGCAGCGTCACTGTTGTTCTACAAGTTTTCAGTGGACTTCTAGCCTCCTTCCTACTTTACTCTTATCTCTTAGTGAAGGAGGTTCAGCCCTGTTGTGTCTAGAGGCTGATACTAGCTTAGTGCATGTGCTGCTTGTCCAAATAGAAAAGATTCTTATTGAGCTCGTGCTGTAGACTTTTTTTCCTCCAAGTTAACAAAACTTGCAGGAATTTAATTTCTTTGAGGCAGACTCTCTCCATGTTTTCAGGAGTTACTGGCTGACAGGCAGCACCGTTAGTAAACCTTATTCCTTTTGGAATCCTGGCATAAGACATGAATGGTACATACCTAGCTTGTCAGGTTTTTTTTCTGTCACTGGATTGTTTTTGCCTTTATCCAGTGTTGTCCTATGAGATGTAGGTATTTCAGCAGTATAATCTCCAGGTTTTTCATGAGGTGTGCATACAACCAAATCCTTTTGACACCTGAGGTTCTCTTATTGACTGCTTGTAATACTAACAGCAGCTTGACATGTGACAGTAGTGACTTCAGTAAACTGCAACTGGAAAAATATCTTTATTGCAAAAGAAAGATACACAAACAGTAGTCTGATTTTTAAATATATGATGGAAAACGGGCTGCTACTTTGAAGAAGTAATTGTCTAATCAAATCAATAACCCTTACTGTTAAATCAAACATTCTGAAATATTAATGCTAATGTTCCAATATTGGAAGTACCTTTAAGGTATTATATGGCAATTAATCAAGGCTAGGTGTTACTGAAATGTGAACTAATAAAATGTATTTAATACATTCAGATAGTGTTGCATAACATTGTGGAAAAATGAAGATGACTCATATTACTTAAAAAATTCAGTGTTAAGATACTTAGTAAAAAACAGGAATTTGTATGCTGATAAATTGAAATTAAACTAATTTCAGATTAAGCTAGTTAAGTGTTTTGTAAAAATCTAGAGTCTCAAGTAGTTGGCATTTAAATTCTCTTCTTTTTTTTAACCAAAGATGTAATTTTTAATAGAACTCATTCATATTTTTCTAATTCAAAAGTAAGCAATATAAAAGTTGAGTTTTGATGAATTTGGTTTAACTGGAGGGAGTAACTTCAAACACCACACGAAGAAGGAGAACAACTGTAATGATAATGTATGGAACTTATAAAATCTTGGAACTTTGTCTACCAAATTTATAGATATTTACATTACAAAGAAGAACCAAAGTGCCTTGCTAGACTGGAACCATGATTTAAAAGGTTAAGCACAGTATAGTAAACAGCTTTTCAATTTATACTCCATTATCAGTGTTTGTTTATAAATGTCATCAAACACAGCATGCTAAAAATGTTAATTTGCTGTCTCTTCAAACCTATAAATTACTTGGTTTCTATTTTATTTACATACTTATGTAGCCTTTGATGATTTTTTTTTTTTTAGCCAGTCTCTACTCTAGCTGTCCAACTTCTGGCTAAGACTATTTTACAGCACTTTCTACAGTCACTTTGATCTACATTTTCTTATAATCTTATGTGATGCTAAAATTAAAGTATTAATGCCACTGCCTCTTATTCTAAACTGCTTTCATATTGCAGAATAAATTGTTTTTAAAAAGGAAAATGTTAATTTCACTGATAATTGTATTGAGTAAGGATTAATTATTTAGATTTTACATGCTCACTAAAACTTTAAGATGTAATCCTAATCATTAAACCCTAACCATTTCAATCATATATGCAATTTAGTCTATAAATCTAAAGTAACTCTAGCGTAGTTTTATATCATATCTACAGGACAATATTTTATTTGGAGGGTGTTAGGCAGAAATTGTGTTGTCCTGTATCAGAAGGTTTTTCTAAAGGAGAATAAACACTACTGTTTTTGAGGACAGGGGTCCAAAAAGATAACTTTCTGTAAACTGTCTAATCATTTGTAGATACTTTTTTCTTGTTTGAAAATTTTATGATGTTGCTGTTAAGAGCCCAAACCCTTTGACCTTATAGTACGTATATAACAATAAATGTCTCAGGTTTTTTTCCATTTGAGTGGTGCTTTGATTTCAGAGTAGTTATTTCTACTTAATTTAGCATTTTTGTATTATAGCGTTTTGGGTGAAGTTTACCTGTTTTTAAGCAAAGTGCATTGAGTTGTTCCTTTTAATAACTGAGACATTTTACTTCTCATGTAGTTGTCACTAATTGAAGTCTTGGTTTTAAGTTTCAATTCAAAGTATTTAGAGGAAAACGCACACTTCCGTCTTTGAGGTTTTTGTTAACATTATATTAGCAAATATTAAACGTGAACCCAGAGAATCCAGAAGAAAATGCTAACCAGAAAGAACAAAATGATTAGAAAGCATATCTGCCTTAACAGGCTCTATTTTTTTTAAATTATTATTTTAATTTGTATATCTCAGAATTTTTTGCTTGCTTCTGAATTGTAAATGGCATGTTCCTTTTGGATATTCTTGGCATATTTTCTTTCCCTTAACCCATTTTATTAAATGGAAGGATGAGAAAGACTTTTCTTTGGATGAATTACAGCTGATGCACTTAAGTCACTTTAATTACACTCTTAGAAACCATTAAAAACTCTAAGTCCATATATATAAGTTGTAAAAACTGTTTAGTAGTTCATAGTAATTACTATCTCTGTTATATGCAAGAATCTAGAATTTTAAGTATATTAATTTTTTGAAGAATTCTGTTTGAGCTTTTCTGAAAGAATTAATTCCCTTTCTGATACAAATATTTAAACAACAAAAATAAATAAAGGAAACCATTTAAGCCTTTCAGCAATTTTATATTTTGGATGAAAACACTGAATTTTGAATGTAAGGTACGTATATACCCTTGCTAAAATGTAAGTATATGTATATATAAAGTAGTTGAGGATATAAAGAAGGAGGAAGATGAGGATATAAAGAAGGAGGAAGAAGGATGAATTAGAACTTCGATCATTAGGTTCATAGAGGGCAAATTATTTTTCACAGGAAGTATAACAACTTTGGAATCCGTGTATGAAAATACAACTTCTCATGGATTTAAAATCGACTCATTTGTAATTAGATAGTAGTACAAGCACTTGTTTCATATGATGCTAGTAGTATAAATATTATTTGAAATAAGTAACCTAGCGTGAATGATCTTTGTGAAAAACAGCACTAATTTCTATTTGTTAATGTAAATAAAAAATACCACCCTTGAGTAATAGTTTTCCTTCCTAGAATCAGTTGTCCAAATGTTATAAAAAATAGATAATTAATCCATCAGTCTAGTAGTTAGTACTGAGTTTGCATATATATTCAGAGGCCTTTGCATGATTGCTAGTGGCATGACCACCATACCTAGGTTATAGTCCAGAATGATAGAGCAAATTGTCTTCTTACCCATTTTAAAATTTTTGTTATCCCACTGTTTACCTAAATCCTATTGATATAAAGTGTCTGTAACATGGTCTACTACAGCTGTTCATCAAGTTAAAAATCTTGCTTGGAATTTCTGTAGAATTGTCACACTTGCTGTAGCCCATTCTGACCTTGACGGGAGAAACCTTTTCTCACTTGTTTTCATTCAAAAGGTGTTGTAGGGTGCACAGCGTTTTTCTAGCCTGTTGTTTTGACTCTCATCCTCCACCGCATTTATCAGGACTTACTTGCTATGCTTTCAGAATCCTTTACAGATCTTTCCTGACTTACCTTCTCTGCCTCCTTTCCTTCCCTATTCAGATATGAACTGATCAGGGAGACCGTGCTTTGTCACTTCTCTGTTACATTTTCAAATGTGCATACTTGTGCACTTTTTTTCCATGCTATTTTGTTGTATTTTGGAGAGAGATTTCCACTGAGTAACAGTATTTTTTTCAGGGTGCTCCTGCAAACTAGCCTTTCCCTCATGCCCACTAAGAAGCTGACAACTAGATGCTATTGATAGTTAACAACTAGTTAACATGTTGACCTGTCTCATTACTTTTTTTTCTCTTTTGTTTTTCCCCTCACCCTTTGATTTATATTTAGACTGTAATTTTTTAATAAAGTCTCTTTTTTTGAATATAAGAACAAAAAGGTACCAACTGGATTGTTAAGTCTGCTTTACAGTGCGGCTCAAAGGTCGTCTTCTGTCTTCAGTCACTGCAAGCCACAAACCAGCATTGTAGACAATACTGTGTATTAGTTGGAAAAAATGAAACATTCCTCCTTCTTTCTATTCACAAAAAGGAGAAACATGCAAAAATTTCAGCTTTGTTAGCAGTGACTGGAACAAGGAAGTTTTTGGCTCTGCTGGGTATAATGGTTATAGAAATAGTTTGACATAATAATAACAACAAAAAAAACCCCTAATAATTACAAGTGGAACTTGATCACCAAGTGGAGTCACAAGCAAGGACGAAATTCTTCCAACCAGTTTAACATATTTCATCACATACTTAAAAATTGATTTTTTTAAAGGAACTGAGAACAAGGAAAAGTCATGGATCCTTCCCTCTGTAGGTGAATATGTTTGATAGGATCTCTGCATTTGTGCACGTAAGGGTAACTCTAAGAAAGTTACATTGTAGAAAACACATGAGACTACTTCTAAATTGTCTGTGCTGGTTTCTTTCCCATCTATGTGTGCATGTGAAGGACACTGAGTAAAAGTTTGTTCTAACATTCTTCATTTCCTACCTAAAGTAACAGCCTTGAGCTCAGCTTAGTGTATGTTAAGTTACACTTCATGTAGATCAACATTCTGCTGTTAGATATTGGAAAGGATCCAGTGCAATGTACTTAATAGTTCTTCAAATAGCTGCCACTCAGGAATTCATATGGAATTATGTCAAGTATGTACATATATGTACTTCACATACTAAAATGGTACATTATTGAATGGTATGGTATGATGTAAAAAAAATTATTATTTTTAGTTGTAGCTTTTAAAAACTTTTCTCACTGCACAGAATCTTTAGTTGTTATTGTTAATCCACCCACTCTCTACCTACTTAACTGATTTTTCTTCATTGGAAAAAGGATGCAGATATTTATTGAAAAATGTGGCTGTTCTGTTTATATAATTTGAATTAACTGATAACAAAACAAGAGAAAAAATTTCTTTAATATATCATCTTTGTATTTTCTTCATTGACTATTTTTGGTATATATGGTAAATTTGGTACTAGATCAAGATGAAAAGACAGTGGGAAGATTAGCAGATGTCCTTTTGAGAACAAATCTAGATATTTCATAAAAATTTCAAACTTAGGACTAAACCACTGGGACTCTGTGGTTTAATTACATTTTAAACTGCATTATTTAGGAACTGGGCAGGACACCAGGAAATCAATCTGGAAGGATGATGGAAGGACAGGTTTCACAACAGACATTACACTTCCGCAACCCGTATTCAGAGGAAAATGGACCAGTTCCTGCAGTGCCAAGTAGGCTACCAGTATTGCAATATGGAAACCCTTATGCAATTCAGGAAAGAAGAGGTAAGTAAATTCCACCACTACTACCCCAATATAATTTCTCTCACTGTTTCCAAAGCAGTGGCTCATACCAGCAATCTTTATCCTGGTGCACAGAGCCTTTACTGATTGATCAGAATAATGTACCTTTATTTTACTGATGAGAATCAATATAAAGTAAAAAATGTTTTAGAGACACCTTTTGAAAAAAGTGATTTCTCTTGTTTAATCTAAACCAAAAATGTTTGAAAGTCTTGATTTTTAAATGTAAAGTAGCACATCTGTAATCTCAAAATACAAACTCTCCTGAACAAAGATGCTCTAATTATTTTTTCTTCAGATGGAGCAGATGGTGCTTTTAATCCTGATGAGATCCAAAGACCACCTGTTAGGACTTCCTTTTGGGAGCTAGAAGATGATGTCGTGTGTAGTCAGCCTTCACGCAATCTTAGTCGGCCTGATGGTTTGGAAGATCCTGAGGATAGCAATGCAAGTTACCTTTTTAATTATTTTTTCCCATTAAATGTTCATTAATGAGTGATCAAGAGTTGCACATAGGTTTTCAGTATCTCATGAGTCTGATTTATTGTTATGTAAATCCAGAATGGATTTTTTTTTTTTTCCCTGAACAGTGTTTTAGGTGAATTTTACTCATTTTGAAGGAGAAAACTGCACAACAATTGATGATAATATACTTGTTCCCCCAGTCTCTTGAGTTACTGCCAGCTTGTTTCGGTCTTAGGACAGTAGCTTCTTAATATTTTTAAATACTAAAATAGAAAAATACAAGGAATCTCAACTCATTCTGATTTTTTTTCTCCTGTGTGAATGAGGGTTCAAAATGTAGCCATGTCTTACTCATTTTTTAATTTCTATGTGGGAATTAAATTGTAACAGAACAAATACAAATTTAAAGGATACCAATAACTGATACCAGTATTTTCAGTTAAATGCTGAATGAAAATTTATATAGTATTAGATATTTCATTCTAGTGTATGAATCTTTTGTTCTGTCTTCTGCAAATCTGCATTTATTAATTTGCATTTTGAATGTTGTTTGCTGTTGGACATTTATTGGGAAGGCTAATTGACTGTTATCTAAAGCTGGTTAAACTGAAAGTGACATTCTCGGTGATTTCTTTTTTAGGGCTTTGCATGTTTTTAAGTGGGAACTGGTTAGCTTTTTAATACCGCTAGCTTGCACATTCTGGTATAAAAATTGGTTTTAGTAAATTGGCTTCTGTAATAAACTGGGCTGTATGTCTTAATTTGAATAGGAACAGACTTATTACTCTTTCTTGTTCTAAGTATTCTTGCACCTTCAAAAATATTAAACAAGAAATACCTTTCTGCGAAGTATTGTGCTCTTTGCAAGTACAGTGGTATCATGACCTGTTTCTCATTTAGTCTAGTTTGCCACATTTAATTGCTATTAACCTTTGCAGAAACTGATCAGTGTTCAGACAGGTATGATTTTAGCCCTGGTGCTCAGCACCTATAATGGAGAAAAATGTATTTCTCTCTCCTGCCTTTTGCCCCCAGTGTCCATTACTGTGAATAATTAGAGAAACTGTCAGAACTTTTGCAGCCTGTTCCAGATCTAGAATGTGAGCTTAGTGCTGTTGCCCACCTTTACTTCACATTGTGCATATTTAATCTGATCATTCTTGACATAGATATTACATGTGACAAGCTCTTCTTTTCTTGAGTCATCTGCTTCAGTTTAATTAGCAGGGTGTTCTTTCTGATCTATGTGCTTTGCCCTCTTGCAAACCCAAGAGAAACAGTGCTAGAGTCTTGTGCTCATTTGCTGACACAGCTTGGATTTTTGTAATGAGATGGAATATAAAGTTCAACTTGAGAAAAGGTGCTTTTAAATCAAATAATTTATATCTTTATTTTTGTACTTTCAAATAAGGATCAGTTGCTTGCTCCTCCCAGAAACAGACTGTATATGTAGTGTATAAATTTACAAGGAAATGAGTAGTTGCAAGAATCTTTCTAGAGAGACTTAGTAATATGCCAAAGATAAAACAGTTCTAATGCAGTATTTAAAGAAATAACCAGGCAAAACATCCATATATGTAGGTAATTCATTATAAAGCAGAGCCTGCCATTTGATAAAATTATAAATATGGAGAGGTTGCCATTTGTTGTACTGGTTTTTAAAATCAGCTGTTTAAGATGTAATTCTGTGCATTTTTAACCACTAAGATGTAGAGCCTTCTGTTGGAGGAAGATTCCTTCCCAGAAGAAAAAGGATTGCTAGTCTTGCTGCTTTGTTTAAAATATTAGCTTTGTATGGAATGCTGTCATCTTCCTCTCCGCATTCCTATTACTACACATTGTATTAGTTTAAGAACTTGAGAGTGTTGTCGTCACTTCCACCACTTTGTGGCTGTGTTGGTGGTGGTTTACCTATGATGATGAACACGTCTACATTATTTATTTAAGATGACAGATCTTTTGAGACTCTGGGCCAATATTATGATATATAGAATGAAGCAGAGGTTGTATACACACAACTGTAAACAGACTTTTTACATACTTTTGACAGTCCTGGAGTTATAAAGCCTTTGCCTTGATTAGCCTATTCCAGCACTTAAACAACTCATACAGCATTATTTGTGCTGTGAATTGATGTAAGTGGAGTACCCCTTTTCTGTTCCTCTGTATTGTGGTGTTTACTCAAAACAAAATTCTCTCCCAGTTTGTTTTGCCTTCTTGCCCCCATTTTTTATTCCTTTCTTGATATTGTTTTTGCTTTCTTCTAACTTCAGCCATGTTTGACACGTGGTAGAAGTGTTGGGCTTTGACAATTGCTTGGGAGAAGAGAGAGACCTTAATACATTCTTGTTCTAACAGGTAGCTGACAGCTGGCTAATCAGCCTGAATGTGGCTGCAAGCTGGTCACTAATCCGACCAAACAGGAAGACAACATGAGGTGATGTGGGGGGGAGAAGTGTTAGGGGGAGTGCAAGACAAACCTGTCTGAATTGATGCACACCATCTGTACAGTCATCCCATGTGTCTGCTTATTTTACAAAAGTCTTCATAAGGTGTTTTTGTTTGTTACTTGCTTATTTTTTTAATGCAAACTTTTTCTTCATCAGTCTTCTAACAGACTTGTTTGAGTTTGCTTTCACCTAAAGGAATCTTGTTCCTGGGTAGTGATCCATTTATATGCTTTTTGTCTTGTACTAAAAAATATCAACTTATGGTACCTTGTCTGCAATATATGAAAAATATCATGTTTCCGTTCTGTGTCATTAGAACTGTAAATTGCTTACTATTATGGAGCAACCTTAGTTTTCTACATCAACGAAAAGGTTCTTCTCCATTTCCCTTCACCATGAAGAAAAACTGTCAGCCTGTTGCGCTAATATGGCTGTCATCATGTGTACTTTTTAGCAATACACCTCTTAAAAATCTCAGTGAGATAGCCTTGGTTGATGTTTCTACTTATCCCAAGGAGGAAATATGAGTCTTTCAGATTAGTGATATGGCATAAGATAGTAACTTCCTTTTGGCTGGTGATGGGGAAGAAGAGTGCCAGCTTGGTTCACTCACTGCTTCTTTCTCATTCCACTGTTAGAAGTTCTGTACACTCATTAAGAGCACATTTGGCCTAGTGAGGCAGGATTTTTGCGGAGCCTTTTAGTACTGGATGGGTGCTGGGGTGTGTACCATTCGCATTCATAGAAGGGAAGACATCACAGTTGCCCTAAGCTCACTATAAGAGGATTATTTTCATGCTAAAGTTGTGTGTGAATTATTTTTCTGGCGATGCTTCTGCACCTGCAACTAATAGTTTGATCTTCAATTGTGTGGAGTACAGCTGCTGCTTTTGCAGCCCTCCTACATTTTGTCTTTGCTGCTGGGAAGTAGGCTTCCCTTTCTACTTCTCAATTAAGACATTTTTGTTACTGGCCATTATCTTGAGTAGCAGTATAAGATCAGGAAATGGTGACACAGCTGCTATACTGAAGCTTACACTGCCTTTACTGTCTTCAGTTACTCCGAGTTGTAAACCAAGCAAAGATACGGTTGCAAATGCATCAGAATTCTTGTTTTGTGTTCCGATTTTGTTTCTCCCAACACTTTGTCCCTTGGGAATGGGCACTTCCAGGTATTTGGCTGACATGAAGAAACATCAGTTTTGTATGACTCAATGACTTTCGGAATTCTTCATAGCTTTGGCTTTTGGAACCCTTACGCCAATTAAACTGATTTCTGAGAGGGGTAAGCTGGTCTTTATTAATCATGCCAGATGACCACGTACACAGTGGTGATTTTGTGTGGAACAGTTGACTTGCCACAAGTTCCTGCTGTCATCTGCTCGCACTAAATTTCCATTTGCTCATGTTCCCATAATTGACCAAAGTGTAATCATTTGGAGTAAGTAATTTCTAGAAGCAGGCATGTATGGGAGAGATCCATAAACAACAAAAAAACCCCCATATATAAATATATATAATTTTTTTTTTTAATACTAAAGTGTGAGTTTTAGAAATGTAGTCCTGATTACAATTGGCACTAAGCCCAGAATAACTATCCTGAGACTCTTAAACAATGTTGTTAGTCACAGTAAATTTGTGGGGGGTGGGGGGTGTAACTTTTGGCAACAGACAAGCAGGTCAGGATATTTTTTGAGATTAATCCAAAATGGCCTTGTAGCAAAAAAACCCCACTACACTTTACTAGACAGATCTTACCCTGGCAGCCAATTACTGTTTTCTGTAGAGGATAGACATAAAAGGAGCAGTTGGTATCCAGGTACCTCTTGGGAGACCAGACTGTTTGCGGAGAGGTAGAGAAGCCTAAAAGAGTTTGATTTTTTTTTCTTCTTTTTTTTAATTTTTTTTTTTAATTTCACTCACACAGCAGAGCTGAATCACAGAAAAAAAACCTATGTACTAGTTTTTTTCTAGGTTACCTGCACTATACGTTAGTGGTGTGGCTGTTCATTTATTGTTCAAAGCTTAAGATGGGTATTGCTTTGCTTACTGATGAACTGTAGAAGTCAGAGATGGGGATTGTTCACAGTTTATGGTTTTTGTACAGTGTCACACAACTTTGTTTTGAATTTCTGTTTGGCAGTCTTGGAACTTATTACAATTGTAATCAGGAAAGCACTATTGAGACAAAATTGGTTATTTTTGTTAAAACTATGTGAGTTGCGTGTATCTCTGACAGCTAATGTCTGACTTTCCTTTCTTCCTCTTTTAGTGGCAAACCCCCTCTTTTTTACCGTGCTTTATTGTGTAATACTGTATTTATCTTTGTTTCATATAATCTGTGGAACTTGTGGCGATTTGAAAGAGTCAAAGCTACAGTCCAGTGATAGTAGCTAAGTCATGATGTTAAAGGCATCTTTATAATTCATTAACCAATTCGTTATCCAAACGTATGAATTCAGAAGGCCTGGTATTTCTTATGCTTACATAACCACAGTGCCAGCCTGTGGGTACCTGATATCAGCCTTCTTT